ATACCACTGGCTATAGCTGATCAGTGTCTTCTGATAGCTGGGAAAGGTCCCCACTGTCAAAATACAATAACTCAGGACATATTCAAGGTAATTTTTTTTTTTTCATTTTTTCATCAACTCGGTTGAATAAATAAAAAATGAATAATGTATGGGCTGCCTAGATCTATATAGAGCAACCAGGACTGATATGGAGAATCCAGACTTGCTTCCTCTTGTTAGTGATCTCTGTAGTCCTGTAGTGATGACGTAAGATTTTTATAGGGGAATCAGGACCTCCTTCCTTCTGCTGGTGATCCCTCTAGTGACAATTAAAGATCTATATAGGGGAATCAGTACCTCCTTCTGATGACCCCTCTAGTGAAAACTAAAGGTCTATGATCAGGACCTCCCCTCTAGTGACTCTAACAACTAAAGGTCTATACAGAGGAATCAGGACCTCCTTTCCTCCTGCTGGTGACCACTCTAGTGATAACTAAATGATCTATATAGGGGAATCAAGACCACCTTCCTCTTGCTGGTGATCTCTGTAGCCCTGTAGTGACAACTAAAGGTCTATGTAGAGGAATCAGGATGTCCTTCCTCCTGCTGGTGGTACTTCCAATGATAACTAAAGATCTATAGAAGAGAATCAGGTACTCCTTCCTCCTGCTGGTGATCCCTTTAGTGCTAACTAAAGAATCTATATAGGGGAATAAAGACCTTCCTTCCTCTTGCTGGTGATCTCTGTAGCCCTGTAGTGACAACTAAAGGTCTATGTAGAGGAATCAGGATGTCCTTCCTCCTGCTGGTGTACTTCCAATGATAACTAAAGATCTATAGAAGAGAATCAGGTACTCCTTCCTCCTGCTGGTGATCCCTTTAGTGCTAACTAAAGCTCTATATAGGGGAATCAAGACCACCTTCCTCTCGCTGGTGATATCTGTAGCCTGTAGTAGATTTTTATAGGGGACAACTAAAGGTCTATATAGAGGAATTCAAGATGTCCTTCCTTTCTCCTGCTGTGACCCCTGAGTGACACTTCTAATGATAACTAAAGATCTATAGAAGAGAATTAGGTCCTCCTTCCTCCTGCTGGTGATCCCTGTAATGATAACTAAAGCTCTATATAGGGGAATCTAAAGACTATGCAGGTACTCCTCTTGTTGGTGATCTCTGTAGCCCTGTAGTGATGACGTAAGATTTTTGACAATAAAGGGGGAATCAGGACCTCCTTCCTCCTGTTAAAGTGATTCCTCTAGTGAAAATTAAAGATCTATATAAGGGAATCAGTACCTCCTTTCTCCTGCTGGTGACCCCTCTAGTGATGACAGCTAAAGGTCTATATAGGGACACATCAGGACCTCCTTCCTCCTGCTGGTGATCCCTATTAAGGGAATCAGTACCTCCTTTCTCCTGCTAACTAAAGGTCTAAGGAATCAGGACCTCCTTCCTCTATGATCCCTATAGTGGAATAGGGGAAAGACCACCTTCCTCTTGCTGGTGCTGTAGCCCTGAGTGACAACTCTATATAGAGGAATCAGACGTCCTTCCTCCCTGGTGATACTTCTAATGATAGAAGAGAATCAGGTCCTCCTTCCTCCCTGTAGTGATAACTAAAGCTCTATATAGGGGAATCCAGACTCCTTCCCTTGTTGGTGATCCTGTAGCCCTGTCCTGATGATGTAAGATGAAGAATCATAACCTTCTCCTCCTGCTGGTGACAATTAAAGCTCTATATAGCGGAATCAGCACCTCCTTCCTCCTAGCTGCGATCCTGCTAATGATAACTAAAGACCTATATAAGAGAATTAGGACCTCCTTCCTCCTGCTGGTGATCCCTATAGTGATACCAAGAGGATCTATATAGGGGAATCCAGACCTGCTTCCTTCTGCTGGTGTTCCCTCTCGTGATAACTAATGATCTATATAGATGAATCATGACCTCCTTTGTCCTGCTGGTGATCCCTCTACTTATAACTTAGAATCTATAGAAGGTAATCAGGACCTCCTTCCTCCTGCTGGCAATCTCTCTAATCACTAAAGGATCTACACATGGGAATCAGGACCTCCGTCCTCCTGCTGGTGATCCCTGCAGTGATAACTTAGGATCTATAGAGAGTAATCAGGACCTCCTTCTTCTTGCTGGTGATCCTTCTTATGATAACTAAAGATCTAAATAGTGGAATCAGGACCTGGCCAACACTACACCCCCCAATATTGTATGCTGTCAGAGGATTCTTTTTCCCTAAGTGCATTGTTTTCTGTTTAGATACATTGAACTATAGTTTCGATTGCTTGACCAGTCTTCTAACAATGCCAAATCATGTTCGACGTTACAAACACCTCCAGGAATATCAACCCTATTGCACAGCCTTGTGTTATCAGGAAAAAGATATACCTTACCCACCAAACTTTCAGTTATATCACTTACAAGCAGGGGCGGACTGACAACTCATGGGGCCCCCGGGCAATAGGGGATCATGGGGCCCCTGTGTCCTTGCCCAAACTAAAAAAAAACTATGAAAAAGGTACCAGGGGCATCTCATGGGGCCCCCTACTGACCCCGGGCCCTCGGGCAGTGCCCGAGTTTCCAAATGGTCAGTCCGCCCCTGCTTACAAGCAGATTCCATAGAACAAGACCTAGCACAGAGCCTTGTGGTACACCACCAGTGACTGGTCCCTGCTCCGAATGAACTTCATTTTATAATATAAAGTCATTCACTAAATATTTAAACATTTTGAACAGTGCAGCCATCTGTAGAAATGATGTAGTCCATTATACAGTTTTATTATTTAATTTGGCCCTGAAGTTTAGTAGAGTCTGACATGCCTTCATTTACTGAATTCATGGCTAGTCTAGACACAGAAATGACTTCTAGCAGTTGAGAAAGGCAGTAATTATTCAATATTGGTAATAGAAACCCCAGATTTTTCTTTTGTCAATATCTGCCAAGAAAAAAATGTTTTCACTAAAAGAGGGGAAATAAGATCCCACAGAAACAAAGCTTCTAAGTGAATGATAGCTCATTTGTATCAAGGGCATTACTATAGAGCAGTCAGTGCAGCTTGGGAGTAATAGGGTGGAGGGGGGTACTTTTTGGAGCTGTCAAAGTATTGTAAGGGTACTGGCACAAGGTACTGATGTATGAACATCAGATTCCTGGTAGAAAATTCCTGCAAAAAAGCATGAGGATGAGCAGTAAATAGTAAATGAACCTATTTACATGTGACATGTTTACCAGACCCTTCCCACACTCTACATCCTGCAGGATCCGATTGTGTGCTTGCAGCTGCCAGTGGGAAGGAGAAGAGAGAAGACGGCAGCACTGCAGGGGTGGGGGCACACAGGGGGGCCTAGCCAGCGATGGGTGCAAGGGGAAGGGCAATTACTGGAAACAATCTCCTGTATGGTTCTCTCTTTCAGCTGTTGCAGAGAGAGCCACACAGGGGATTGGTTCCAGTAACTGCCCCCCTCCCCCCCACAAGCTGATCACCATCCCTGCCCACTTCCGATGTACCCATCTGCATTGGCCCCCCTGCTGGACTGGGCCCCATACAGGAACACTGGCGGTACCCCCCTTATCCACAACCCTGTCTGTGTATAACAGGCCTTATGCGTGTACAATATCCCAATAAAAGCTAAAAGAGTTTATGCCCATATACTGCCTATCCTTACATTACATCCTGACCATGTGCAAGTACCCTAAAGAAAAACAGAAACTCATTCCCTGCTCTATTCATGACTCTGTTATAAAAATGTAATGCTGGTTTAGAAAAAGTTGACTACCTCATGTGTATCCACCCACCCATGTCAGCTTGAAAGTGTAGCGAGGAGTTTAGAAGTATAATACCAGCAGCAATGGCAGAGCCGAGCACAAACATGTCCAGTATGTATGCATGTAATATGGCAAAGGGGGCTGTAGCCAGGTGCAGTCTGTTTTTTCCACTGTAGGTGGCGCTCAACCAAGTGACACCACAGTCTGGAGAGGAAGGCAAGGGAAACTTGGTTTCTCTATGGTTTTATGGATCATGGAGCAGTGCTGCGGTTGCATCCATGTGACCCCTTGTGGCCATCTTGGGTCAGCAGGGCCTTTATAAGACCTTGCCCCAGGCTTTTGGCACGCATTTTGCGAAGTGGGTAGAGTAGGGAGAGAGACCCCTCCTGAAAGGGAAAGTGACTAGTGGAAGGGAAATGTTCCTGACAAGGAGGGGCAGGCTAGGGATTCACTACCTCAAGGAAGCCTTCCCTTTCGGGGACTGGACTGGTCAGGCCGCACTTCACCCTCTGAAACAGACACTGTCGGCGCATCTCTGCCTTTGAATTGAACTGTGAGTGTTTTCCCTAAGTGGTGCTCTCGTGCTGGGGTGTTTGTAGTTTGACATTCTCTTCAATACAAGCTACAAGTTTCTTTGCAACTGGACTCTGTGTCTTTACTGCAGCCACACCACGCTGCACCTCCCCACGGGGCTATGATAGAATGCATGAAGGTAGAAAAACCTTTAGGTTTGACAACTACTTTAGGCCTAATTCTGGACATCTCAAGTACATTCATGTATTTTACTACTTTGATACAGTTTGGTTCTGTTGCAATGAACACATTTCATAAGGCCATATGAGTAAGTTGTACCAGCATTTGTTGCCAGTTCAGGATTAATGACTAATCACACCTGCACACCATTGTTCAGTTTCCAGCTCAGTTACTGTGCCCTCACTGTTTGCAAACAAATCCAAGTGTACAGAAACTCACATAGTGTCTTTTGTGACCCTCTCTGCCACCACTTAGGCTAGGTTCACACTTGTGCAGACTCGGGTTCTGTGGGTAGGTGAGCCCACTCATTTCAATGGGCTGCCTTACCTGCAAAAATGCAGGCAAAGAAGTCCCAGACGCTTTTTTTTTTTTTTAAATCACACTGCACAGAATCACATGGTATTGCAGCACCATGCGATTTTGTGTGAACAAAAACACAGGCGTTTTGCCACTGTCTGGGGATGTCATTAAGACTCTGCCATTACAGTGTTACTAAACCCACAACAGTAAATAAGTCTGTATATGCACTAAAGCATGCTTGTTATACTCACTGTGGAACCTAAGGGGTTAATTGTGTAATTGTGTAAAAAGACCATTTGATCCTGTCTTCTCTGCTCCTCCTCTTGTATAAATGTCCACCTCTTATCTCCTGATAAGACAGACTGAACCGTAGCCATTCTGCACATGCTCAGTTTAGTGTGTATTGCTAGAGAGGGTTTTTTTTTTTCTTGGGAGAGTGCATGTGATCAGCACAGGGCCGATCAGTACTGTCCAAACAGAGGCAGTGGCGCCCCTAGGCGGGTGCAGGGGGTGCGCGCTGCACCGGGTGACACCTATCGCACGGGGTGACCCTCTCTATAAAAAGAAAAGTTTTAAAGCAAGCCGACGATCCCCACAAGATGGATCGGATCTGCGGATTGAGCAAAATGGATCAGAGTCAGATCCATTATGCTCCCCAATCTGCAGATCCGATCCATCTTGCGGGGATCGTTGGCTTGCAACCTATACGGGGTTAACTGATCTAGGTAAGGCTGTGCAAGATCTGGGACTTGTCTGTAACCAGGAAATTTCCCGCGATAGCAGGAACCTCCTCCATCTGACATCACTTCTTGAGCATGTGCAGACCGGACCGGTGTTGAAAGATCAGTTAACCCCGTATAGGTTGATCCTGCGGGGATCGTCGGAGGGGAGACACCAAGTGTTACTGCACCGGGTGACATCAACCCTAGGGACGCCCCTGAACAGAGGTAAGGGGTTTTGCATCCTCCTAGAGCACAAATAAAATTCCTCCTACAAGCTTTAACATGTACTCTGGACACTGACAGAAGTCACAAGACTGCTCTAACTGCTGATGAGAAAAGGTATTTAGCAGTTTACATTTACTAAAATAATTGTGCTTCCATGTTCTGTGTACTGTGGGGGACCAGATATAGTGAATGCAGGGTCCTGGGTTTAGAAACACTTTAAGAGCAGCATGTTTTGCCTGCAGGTCAAGAATGTGCACAATTTTGCAAGCTTTCCTGACTTGCACAAGTGTGAACCTAGTCTTAGGCCCCATTTATACTATGATGTACAATGTTGGGTGTCACGTTTATGTGTGTTTGTCACTACATGCATAGGGCAGCCCATTAAAGCAGAACTAAACCCAGCAATTCATGCCTAGTATACATGATGAAAAACATGGATGAAAAAAAAAAATGCTTTTAGAGCTATCGTCCGCTAATCAGTTAGTTAGTATACAGCTTTCAAAAGCCAATCATTTCAAAAGCCAATCATGACAGTTCATGTGAAATTATCCGAAGGGACAAGCATGGAAATTTTTCCCGCAAGTTAACGGAACAAACAATTTTTGTTTAATCATTACATTATTTGTCTGTAAAAAATCGAGTAACCAAGATTGCGCATGAAACATGAATAACCCGGAAGGAGAAAGGGCAATGAAAACAATTTTCATTTACAACAAAAATACTCCTAAATACAGAAAAAAATTTAGTTTTCAGGATAGAAATATGTATAATAGCAATAAAGGAGAAATCATTTTTTTGCTACAATTTGTTAATTATTTAGTATGCTTAGCAGCGCACTCCTATTTGATATGAGAGTAGAATGCAAAAAACCCCAACCAAACATTCATTTGATTTTCTCCTCATGTGTACTAGGCATTATCCCCCAGTTCACATCTATGCGGCCGGTTTTGAACGGGCACCAGAGCCCATTCATTTGAAATGCAGGGAAGAAGTCCTTGCACTTCTTTGGAAAACGCAGCCCTCATGGGAACCTCAGTTCCCAGTACAGTTGCGTTTTCCATTGCGGGCGGTGTGCCATTAAAACAAATGGCACCTGCCCGCGGGTCCGCATTTCTCTGTGCGGGGTGGTGCGGCTGCACTGATTTTCGTGCGGATCCGCAGCGGCACCACCTGCACAGATGTGAACCTAGGGTAACAGTTTAAAAAAATAGTTACATTCCCAGCATGCCTGGAATGCTAACTGTCACATTTGCTTGTGCTCCGAACCAAACTTTCAACCATCAAATGTCTGGTGTCATAACTGACCGCATGTGCAGCACCATAGAAGTCACAGATCAGGCTAAAATGGCAGCTTTCTTGGCTGTAAAGGAAGGAAGGGTTTAGTTCTGCTTTAATTTCAATTAATCACTAAGGTAGGTCAGGTAACTTTTTGAGCATTTAGCTCTGCACATTTTGACACGTTTGTCTGCTTGCTGGTTTTGGGGTGCCATCAACAATGAATGGCACTGCAAGCCTGTCACGTACGGTGTGACCCCCAAAGTAGAACTAAAGGGAAATCTTTTTAAAAATTTTGGATAGAGTGGAAGGGGATTAGAACACCTGTCGGGTTTTCTTTTTTTTTTTGCTATCTGTGTCCCGTTAGGAATGATCGTTAGGAAAGGTCATTAAGAGTGAAAGAAAATCCCAAACTTTGTGTTGTCATCAGAACAGGAATAGAGGGGAAATCTTCCAAGGGGGATACCAGTTCTGGTGAAAGTTACATGGAGCTCTTCCTTACCCTAGGTTCACTACTAAGTGTTTTCCGCAGCGTTTTGCATTTTACATAAACGCAGTACAGTCCATTTAACATGAATTCCTATGGGACATGTTCACATCTCCGTGGTTTCACCTGGTGCGTTTTTTGGAAAGGGTCAGGGGCTTTTTTGAACACAAAAAGTTGCATTTTTGGATCTATAGACTTCAATGGAAATGCTACAGAAGAGCATGTAGTGCATTTTTGCTACGATGTTGCTGTGTTTTTGATGCATTTTGTATTTTAAATCTGCCTAGCAACAAGAAAAATGAAAAAAGAAAACCGCAAAATGCATCAAAAGTGCATTAAAAAACGCAGGTGCAAAACGCAATCTGCATAGGTGTGAACCTAGCGTTATACTATCTAAAAAGTTTTGTCTTTAGTTCTACTCTAATTAAATATCGGCCACAGCAGCCAGATTCATCAATGCTTCTGTAAAGGCCTGCAGCCTTTTTTACCGCGTTTGCAGGGCATTTTTATCATGACATGTGACTCAAAAAACGCACTGCAGGTGCATTTTTGATGCATTTTTGTACAGTTTTTCATTGATTTCAATAGGGAGGTCCGTTTTTGGTGCGTTTTTTTTTTTTTACTGCACCAAACCCGCACTAAAAATGCAGCAAGCAGGACTTTGAAAAATGCACCTGATCCCCAACGGATCAGTGTGAAGAGTTCCATAGGAATACATTTTTTTAATGGTTGAACTGGACTTTTGTCTTTTTTCAGCCAGACTAACTATGTAACATGTTCACATGTTTTTCCTCCGCTTTTTTTTAATGCAAAAGCAGAAAAAAAACGGATCAGTGTGAAAGTAGCCTAAATCGTACCTGCAGCAAAAACATATTGCTTTTAATTCTTAATGGCACCTCCATGCATTGGAAACCAAAGCGTATTTTCCCATACTGGGAACCACCTAGCACTATGCAGTTTTACCTGCGATTTTGCAAAAGGTGCGAGGACCTTTTCCCTGCATTTTTCGTAGGTACACAGCCCATTTATTATGTGTCCGTACAAATGCAGCTGCAGGGAAACCACAAAATAGTGACCCTAGCCTAATTCTGTGCTGGTCAATCTTCCTCTTTCAGAACCTAGTATAGGAAGCTACTGCATTTTACCAGCTTAGATTCAAGGCCATCCACAGCATACGGGTTGAGGAAGGCAAGTATCAGAACCAGCCAGCCTGACTATCTAGGTGAAAATGAAGTATATGTAGTAAGTAAGGCTGTGTCTCCTGGATGAGATTAATCAACATTTTTCGGGGTTGATTGGAGTGTACTTTTAATTCTGACAAGTAAAATGAACCAAGGGGTTAAGCTGTGAACACTATATATACAATTGCCAGTGTAATGTGATCCAGCTCAGAGTACCGGTTAGGGTTACACATTAGCACAGTCAGGTCATGTTAAAGGCCTGCCAGTACTAGGTGGATACAATGTTTGCAAACAAACTAGAGTTTTTATTCTTATCTCCATGAGGAACCGATATCAGGAGCGACTGAGAAAAGGGCGCATAGGTGTGCACCCAAAGCTCAATTATGCATGTGTGTGTATATACACTGACGTGCCACTTTATTAGGTACACCTGTTCAATTGCTTGGTAACACAAATTGCTAATCAGTGAATCACATGGCAGCAACTCAATGCATTTAGAAATGTAGACATGGTGAAGACAACTGGCTGAAGTTCAAACCGAACATCAGAATGGGGAAGAAAGAGGATTTAAGTGACTTTGAACGTGGCATGGTTGTTGGTGCCAGATGGGCTGATCTAAGTATTTCAAAAACTGCTTATCTACTGGGATTTTCATGCACAACCATCTCTAGGGTTTACAGAGAATGGTCTGAAAAAGAGAAAATATCCAGTGAGCGGCAGTTGTGTGGACGAAATACCTTGTCGAAGTCAGAGGTCAGAGAAGAATGGGCAGACTGGTTGCTGTGACATTCAGATGGCAGGGTCAGAATTTGGCTTAAACAACATGAAAGCATGGATCCATCCTGCCTTGTATCAATGGTTCAGGCTGGTGGTGGTGTAATGGTGTGGGGGATATTTTCTTGGCACTAGCAAGGTGTACCTACAGTGGGGAAAATAATTATTTGAACTCTCCTGCAGATTTTGTAAGTTTGCCCAATTACAAAGAAATGAAGGGTCTATACTTTTTATCATAGGTGTATTTTAAATGATAGATAGAATATCAATCAAAAATCCAGAAAGAACACATCATACAAATGTTATAACTTGAATTGCACTTCAGTGAGTAAAATAAATATTTGATCCCCAAGCAAAACATGACTTGGTACTTGGTGGAGAAACCCTTGTTGACAAGCACAGAGGTAAGACTTTTCTTGTAGTTGGTTACCAGATTTACACACATCTCAGGAGGGATTTTGGTCCACTCTTCTTTACAGATATTCTCAAAGTCCTTAAGGTTTCTTGGCTGTCGCTTGGCAACTCAAAGTTTCAGCTCCCTCCATAAATGTTCTATAGGATTAAGGTCTAGGAACCGGCTAGGCCACTCTATTACCCTAATGTGCTTCTCCTTGAGCCACTCCTTTGTTGCCTTGGTGGTATGTTTTGTGTCATTGTCATGCAGGAAGACCCTTCCAAGACCCATCTTCAGTGTTCTGGCTGAGGGAAGAAGGTTCTCATCCAAGATTTTTCAATACTTGGCCCCGTTCATTGGCCCCTCAATGCAGAAAAGTTTGCCTGTACCTTTAGCAGAGAAACAGCCCAAAAAGCATAATGT